ATGAAATGTGCTTTCCACTGACGTGCGAAGAGTAAGTGTCTGATAACCTTTTGACCCTCAAGAGGAGGGTTAAACATGGATTTGTTGACTGTTAACAAAGGACTGAACTGTGTTTGATAGTAATTGTGTGATCGTGGAAGACTTAAATTTCACAGTGAAATTCTGCATGCAAAACTTACTTGAACAACGTTTACGCGCCTTAAATCATATATGAACTTCATTCTCTGGAGATTCTATACGTTAGGAATACAATGTCAATAGCACTTACGCAAACGTCTGTTTTTGATTAAGGCCAACTATAAATATGCCTACCTCGCAGGTGGGTGGCTGATAGCAGAGCATATAAATCAACAGTATCATTATTCTGATAGCCTGTACCGTAGTATTTGGACGCTCGCCCGAAACTGGACGCTCCTAAGTGCGCATGCGCGCAGGCGCCTCTTGTTTTGCAAGGGCGCATGCGCAGCATGCGCAGTAGTCATCTGCGCATCTCTCCCATCGAAAACGGTTAGGGTAATATCAAGAGTAGATAATAACACATAATAATGTGTTATTATCTACTCTTGGTAATATCCATTGATATCATATAACAACATCTATGATCTATGCGTATGATCTATGATCAACATAATGATAACATAATGATTATAATACGATTATGTGATTATGTGATTATGTGATTATATGTTATTATGTGTTATATGTGATTATATATGATAATGATATCATTATCATATATTATATGATTATATGATATCATTATTAATATTATATGATTATATAATGATTATGATATATGATATATGTGATTATGTGTTATACGATCATATGATTATGATACAGGTTGTTATATGATATCTATGGTAATATCACACCCCAAACTCCACGACAGATGGCGCTCTCGCTCATGGGCTAAATCTACCACTGCCAAAATTAGATTTCGGTTACAATTTGTAACGCCTTTTTAACTACAAGTTTTACAGCAGGCACGTTACTCGTATTCTATGTAATAAGATTTGGACTAATAAAAGTTGCAAAGATATTAAAAATCCGACCGTTATTTCATAAAATAATTGATAAAATAGTGATACGAAATAGTACGCGGATTGTGCGCCCATTTACCTTGTTCAAATCATACGCTGTTTACGAATCTCCATTCGATTGTATTCCATTCTGTTTACGATTTCCGCCGAGCTCCGCTCACTTTAAAAATAGTGCTAGCATTGTGGCAGTGGTATCCTGAGTGAGCGAAGGGGCACTGCATGCAGTTTGATCACACCCCTCACAGCAGCCTATCCCAGAAACCACCGCACCGACCAATCACATGCACGCACATCCATGTATGCATGGCACATCCATAATGTATAATTACAATATCGATGAATAGCCGAGCTGGTAAGGCGGCGAACCTTACGTCTGAAGGTGGTTTTTTTAAAATTTAATTACATTTATTAGTGTTAATTAAATTTAATTAGGGTTAGGGTTAGGGTTAGGGTTAGGGTTAGGGAGTAGGGCGTAGGCTGCGGGGGTTTCTGGGATAGGACCTGCTGTGAGGGGTGTGATATAACCTCAACCATCGAAAACGGTCGCAATAAACAATCATGGCGGCCAACCCGGTCACTCATGGAAACATTTGATTGAAACAATTTGCAATGTAGTAAGTTAGTAAGACTGTGTTATGTGTGTCAGGTTACAAGGCAAAACAAAAAGAAAACAAAAGAGCATGGCTACTATTTCCTACGACCCTGCAAAACAAAATTCAAACAAAAAAAAACAAGAGAAAAACAAGAGAGCATGCGCGCATGCGCACTTAGGAGCGTCCAGTTTCGGGCGAGCATGAACCTGTATGATACACGCTTTATGTTCCACTTCGCTACACTATATAACCACCTGTACGCGAGCTCAACCCTGGCGGTTCGCAAGCCTCGTTATTGATCAACCGGTTGTTATGGCGGGGAATCTGATTAGCGGCGAGCAATCGAGCGTACAGAAGTAAATACGGCAAAACTTCGTACCAGGCGAATACCTGATGAATGGAAACAATCTAGTTAATGGCTTTGGCAGAAGCGTGCACTAATTGCAGTTATAAATTCAACTTGAATAACTTGAGAAATGACGTCAGGCAAAAGCCTGCTCGCTGATTGGCTGATCGGCCTGTTACAGCTCTCTGATTGGGCGCGATGATTTCTTCGTTCGCAAAGCGGGCTGAAGAAGCATTGAGGGGTACAGGCGGTTAGTGTAGTGAAGTGAAACCGGAACCGCCTGTATCATACAGGTTAGGCGAGCGTACTACTGTACACGCCTATCACAGCATGGGCTAAACGGAGATAGCAACTAGTTCGGATTATCTAATCCCTGCACCTAGTCAGTATGCACGCCATCTATCGGAACAGAGTGAGAAGAATGTCCCGGCAGGATAGGTCAAATGTATATTGCGCTCAAAAGTGCAGAAATAATTACTTTCTTAACTTCAGTTTAACCAATCTTGAGATAAGTAATTGCATAAATGAATCGTCAAACCTACCAATGAAAACTTGCCAGTTTTGTACTGTCCTTGGCATGGCTATCTCCGTCGACGTTACAGTAGTGTGCAATGTCGGGATATGGTGGAGCATGCTGGCTTGTGGACGCTGCAGAGCCCGATGGTTGACTGTCAGTCGAAATGTGTTGATCCTCCACGAGATTGAAGAAATCTGTACATTATACGTGCGTCTGCCTTATCTCTGCCGGCCATCTTCGTCGAAAGTTTGGACGCCGCGCGGCGAAATCGGAATGTACATTTCAATCGATAACGTAACTGATACAGTAGCGCGCCGCGTGGGTGTTATTTGTTTATAAACAATTTAGTCTGACTGACTCTCTCCATCTCTCTCCTCTCGCCCGCACTCTCTCTCTCTCTCTCTCTCTCTCGTTTTCTCTTTCACCCCCCTCTCTCTCTCTTCCTCTCTCTCGCTCTCTCTCTCTCTGCAATAAATGTTTGCTGAAATGATGTGTACGCAACTGCGTATCTGCATATCTGCGCCTAACAAAGGTGTCACTACGCATGACTTAAATGTCACGTTTATAACCGTAGAAGCAGACCTCAGATGAGCCCAGTCGCTCTGCGGCTCTTGTTCATGGTTACCGATAATGTCTACCCTCTCCTCTCGCTCCCCTTCCAACCCTTCCCTATCCCCGCGCCTGCATGCATCAACCATGCATGGATGTGGGAGCTAGGGTGAATATATATCACAGTCACAATCCTCTATCCCACACTCTCTCCCTCTACCGCTAAGGAAAGCACTGCAGCGCTATAATCAGGGGCGGATTCAGACCGTATTTGCCGTATTGGGAAATACGGTCTAGATTTCAAAGTGCCCTTCGAAATTTTGCGCTAAAATATACAGAAACAAATTGATGGAATTTGGCTATATTCTTTATTTGTTTTCTTTTTCTTCTGATTCCTTGAAGAGAATCAAAATTTTACATGGTAACAAAACTAGCTTTCATATCTGAAAAAGAAGGGGAGTGCTTGAATCATTCTGCATTAATTGCTGGTATGCAAGCGCAGACAAAATGAAGCAGAAATAAAATTCCATATGGTTTTTAGCTATTGCTGCTTGACTATGACTTGCTTGAAATGTGTGCTCAAATTTTGTGCCCAGGGACCCTTGAAAATTTGAAATTTCCTCGGGGAGGTCCCCCAGACCCCCCGCCATGTGCGTCCGCGCCTTACGGCGCCCACTGGGGGGGTGGTGTGCCCTTTTTGGGGGATGTGCCCCTAAAATCTTGAAAAATACTGTCTAGCTTCAGCCCTGGATCCGCTCCTGATAATGTATGCCCGCGTTTGTTGGAGGTTATTCGATAAGGCAGTATAACAACAGAGCGCCCACGGCGCGTGCGTTGCAAGCGCTTTCTTTTTGATATATGAATGTCTATATGCAAACAACAAAGAGAGGGGCGTGTAAGCAAAGCAAGACGAATGAGTGCGGCAAGGCGGCAACTGTTGCGTTTACTTTCGTCGATGTTACGTTTGATATATCGTGTGGATAATAAAATCCGGTCAAGGAAAGGTCTCGGTAACTCTATCTAGTACGATTCTAAAGTCCCTGACTGAGCGCAGCGTGTGGTGAATCGATGTTTCCTTATCAAGATGATATTTATGTTCCATAAACGTCACGTAAACGAAAATACATCCGTCCTACATGTGTCCGTTTCATTCGCGTTGCAATTTAATCATACGCCGTTATATCGCGCATTTTACATTCTTGGCACGTCGCTTTAATATGCGGAAAACGTGTAATTGGTGTTCACGACTTCTTCTCGTGAAGTGAAGGTGATTTTAATAAAAAATAAACGAGTGATTTTATTAACCAATAAACAGTCAGTGTTCACTTGATTGTTCCCAAAAGTTCTTAGACGTAGGCAACTGCAATTAATCTCGCTGCATGACGTCTGACTCAGATTTGACGTGCAGAATTGTGATTCAGTCGTGGCTCTGATCGCAAGCTGATTGAATGCGGAGAACGCACTGCAAAGTTTGAAAAGATTGGCTTGATTTGGCGCTTAAGGGTTTTAGCAAAACAAAAATCATAATTAGAATAGCGGCAGGCTGTTTATAACGTGATCGTACAGCGGAGTACAATCAGTGTGTACAATCATTCTCAGGTTACGATGAGTGTAATACTATGATACTATGTGCATGCCATCTACCGGTCGGTATTGATATTTACTGTGGAAGCAGTGATTCACGTGAAAACTATATTCGTTTGACTCTTGATCTCTCTCAAACCTTTTGAGAGTTTATGTTGCGTGTACCATTATTTGCATTCGATTAGTTCAATTTAGTCCGAATGTGTTCATTGTATAATTATAAACAGTTGCTATCTATAATGTGATTTGCGTGATGATAATGATTTGATACCAGATCATACTTAATGCCTGTTCATGTTTAATAAGTTGATGATAATTATTTGGCATCTGTTCACATTTAATAACTTTGCACTAACCTGCTGTTTCAGTTTTGACGTTGAGAATGGCGCATCGCCAGGCAGGAGTCCCCTGGATGGATCCAGCCCCGGGTCCGGATTGGTTCTGTCTAACTTCCCACCGACGCGTCGGGAATCCTTCCTCTACCGGTCGGACAGCGATTTCGATCTGTCGCCAAAGTCGAATTCACGCAATTCTTCCCTCACCAGCGAATCGTAAGTAAAGCTAACTTCATGTCTTATAATTACGTTTTTACGACGGCCTTCACCCTGATGTTCTTCTAGATCTCTTACTGCAGTCACGATAAAATAAAACAATGCACGCACATATGTTATTTTCACCCTGATATTACCAGTCAGTCACACACTTATCAGGTTGTATATATACTTATTATACTTATGTGTAGATATGTATCGTCAGCACTAGGAACACTGGCGCACTGAGTATACGTAGACATGTTGGAGCCTAGCCTATATATATATAGTCATTATATCGTTATCTGCGAGCAAGAAGACAATTTGAAACACAGGTGATCACTGCTAAATAAAATTAAGTCACCGCTCAATTTTGTTAAGTCTAAAACATGAAGCTAAAGGATGCAACTATGAAACCATGCTTATCTTTTTATGTCATATTATCAAGAGTAAGATAATATAGGCTCCTATATTATCTTACTCCTGATATTATGTTATCTCAGTGGGAATTACAGATCTATACATGTGCTGCCACCTACAGTGGAAAAAAACGAAAATTGCCTTAGTCCTGCATACATTATCTTACTGCGGATTCACCCAACAGATGGCACTACGTGTCAGATAAAAATTGCGCACCGCTACACAAATTTGCCTGTTCTTTCGGTTTCTTTTCCTAAGCTTACTAATAAGTAATATAATCCTGTCAATAGAAATGAAGGAAGAAGGAAATGAGAAATTTCTTTCTAATATTTCTTATAATGTTCTTTAATCCGCTGGTTATTAATTGTATAGAATTCACTTCAACTTGAATCAAAAATATGAATGGAATGGTTCCCATACCGTGTTCCTGCAACTAGCGGTACGTCAAATAAGATTAAACACATGCAAACAATAGTTTGCAGATGAAAGTATCAGTGTGATAATATAGAAGTGGCTTCTTTTTCGATCGGCTTTGTCAAAGCAGAGCTTTGTCACGCGTCTATACAGCAACTCGCTTTTCACGAGCGAGACACAATCTATTACCTACATCTTCTCTAATAATAACGACGGGAAAAATCAATACAGCCCCTGAAAAACGCAAAATTCCCCGCGATAAGGCGTATTTGTTACAGGTTAAAATTATCAAGAGTGCATATCTATAGATCTCTATTATGCACTCTTGAAATTATCTATATGTACATAGATAGATACTACTGTACTTACTTCATCATCGATTACTTTTAATTGTCGACATTATAGATGGTAGGATCTTGTGTTTTAGATCTAGCTATGATGCCTGCGGACATCGGTGGTTCACCCGTCATAATTAGTTATACCCAAGACACATACATTACCTAGTCCATACATACATTACATTAAATACATTACCATTACATACATTACCACGTGCATACATACAATACCACGTACATACATACATTACCACGTACATACATACAATTCCAAGTACATACATACATTACCACGTACATACATTACCACGTACATACATACAATACCACGTACATACATACATTACCACGTACATACA